CAGTTTTAACTGCTGATAAAAGTGACAGAGGACACAGATATGGGAAGTGTGAAAGCCTCTACTTTATCAAAATGACATAGGAATAACAGAGAGTTGGCCATTCTAAGGTAAAAATCCAGCGCATACAGTGTTCATGTTATGTTTTGTTTTTTTCATCCAGACTGCTTCCCGCGCCCCCCCTGCAATGACACGGCGCCCCCCCTACGGGGCGCGTCCCACAGTTTGGGAACCTCTGTTCTAGTGTATTGAAAATGGCAGTGTGTCAGTATCTCCTTTTCCATTTTCTCAAACAGGTTTTCACATCATTTAAAATGAACGTACATGATCTTTGCTCCAGCTGGTCTAATCTGATACTTAATTCCCTGTTCCATCTGTGTTTCAAAGTCACACTGAGGATGTCCTGATCAGGACATTTCAGAGAAAAAAACATCAAACCACAGTTAACCACGGTGGTGGTAGTAGGTAGGCCTGTTCTGCTTTGACCTGGACAACGTCCCATAAGTAATGCAACCATAAATTTTGTTCTCTGGCTGAAAAAAAGACAGAATGAGCCGAAGCACAGCAACATGTCCACCTCTTAATGATCCAACAAAAATGATCCAACTGAATTAGTGTGGCATAACCTTAAAATCGGCCTCAAACCTCAAAAACTGTCCAATGTGGATATTTTTTATTTCATGCTAAAAACACAACCAATCTATTACTCATTTGGTGCAAAGTAAATTCTTGACTTATTTCTCTTTCTGCCCTTCAAGACGCCATGTTGTCCTGCGAGTTCAAGACAGAAAAAGATCAGAACCCTCGAATTGAGTGGAAAAAGAAAGGAAAAGGAGTGACTTTTGTTTATTTTGACAAGAAATTTGCAAGTGAGTTGCACACCTTAAAGGCTCATATTAATCTATCAAGCCAACTTTTATGCATGCTCTCCCAGATTTGCCTCCTGTTTTCCACCCCAAGACTAAATTTCTCTGCTTTCCGTCTCAGAGTCCTACGCAGGACGGGCCAAGATAGAGGGAGCGACGCTGACGATACACTCCGTCACCCAGAAAGACTCGGGGGAATATCGCTGTGAGGTAACCGCCAGCGAAGACCACGTTAACCTCGGAGAGGCCACTGTGACCCTCAATGTGGTCGGTATGTTAACACTTAACACCGACAAACACGTTCTTAGTTACAACTCGCTCTTTGCCACCGTAACCCTGCAGATTGTTTATTAAAAACCTAATGAAATGGGAAACTTCATAGGTTTGTAATATAAAAGTATTACAGTATTAGACTATTTTTTTTGCCTTTTTTTGATGATGTGGTAAAATATTTTCCATTAAATTTATAAACTAAGTGCCCATCTGTCCACTGTTCATCAAAATGTGTCATTCCAATTTTTATAAAATAAAGATTGTAAAACTTTCCTGACCGATAAATAGTACTTTGCACATATTTAGTAGTGTCAAATTAAGAACGAAACTTCATAAATATTTTAGCTGTATTCTAAAATTGTGCACAGATTTATTGAAATATTTTAAAAACAATCCCCTAATGTACAGATGTACATATTTGGAAGATAACAATTAAACATCACAACATTTTAAAATGTAAAACAATTAAAAATACCACACTACACTTTACCTACCATCATTTCTATCTGCGAAAAGTGCTGAAACTTCCAGAAGTATATTATTATAAAGCATGTTTTTTCCTTTGACATTAGATTTACGTTTTCTGCCAAACTAACATGTTGTTTAATTCTTTTCCTTCTGGCTCGGTGTAAATAATTAAAAGCGTCTGGGCATTTTGCCAAGATTAAAAAGAGAGTTACTGTGATCCAGACACACGGCTATCTTGACACATGGATACCTGGAGAACAGAAGACCAGGAAAATTATTGATTTAGTTCCTCTTTTATCAGGATACACACTGTCCTTGTGACTCATTCTTTGCCATAAAAAATATGTGCCGTATAAATCAGAGGTAGTTTGTTCATTCAAACAACAACCAAAACATCCTGCAATATGAAGGTTTTCCTGCTTAACTCATGGGATTAAACTCTAATACCCAAACGGCCATGCACAGTGTACGTCCTTACCCATTCTCTGTTTCATCAAAATGTTTGAGCAACGAAAATGTTTTTAAAAACATTTTCGTTGCTCAAAAAGCGCAAAAACCAAACAAGCATGTTTCTAAGTGGCGTGGAATGTTTCCCTTTCTTCCTCAGTGCCTCCTCACGTCCCGTCATGCGAGGTGCCGAGCTCGGTGTTTGTCGGCACCGGCCTGGATCTGCTCTGTAAGGACAAGCTCAGCGTGCCTCCGGCCACCTACCGCTGGTACAAAGACAACAAGGCTCTGACGGCCACGGGAGACGCTCCGTACAGCATCGACACAAACAAGGGAACATTGGTGAGCGCGTCCAAACAGTGCCAATTTGTGCAGAGTCACAGTTGCTGATCTTTCCTTTTGTCTTCTGGCTTTATCTCTGACGGCATGGAGCAGAAGTTCAAGAGCGTGACCAAAGAAGACACGGGGATGTATCGCTGTGAGTCCTCCAACAGTGTGGGGGCGCCAAAGAGTTGTGTAGCCAAGCAGCTCACAGTTGTTGAATGTAGGTGTCTTTGTGGAAAACAAAAACTAATCGTCTGTCATATATTAGTAATAAACCGCTAAGCATATGTCACTGCCCCTGCAGATCCGTGGAATATGACCATGTTGATAGCAGGTGCGTCAGGATTTGTGGCGCTGATCCTTTTCTGCTGCATCTGCATCTGTATCTGCCGCCACAGAGGCTGCTGCAAGAGTGAGTGCTGACATGTTACTGCAACCCTATGGGGGGACAGTCCAGATTAAGCAGAGTTTACGTATTAAGCTCTACAGACATGAGAACATGCAACATGCAGAAGACTAGACACACATCTAGATATGTGTGCTTAGCTCATAGTGGACAGTGCAGGTCAGAGGTCAAATACCAAGCATAAAATCAAAGGAATTCCCTGTAGGCCTCTGAAACAGGATTGTCCTGAGTAACAAATCTGGGAAATGATCCAGAAACATTTCTGCAGCTTTGAAGGTCCCAGTGAGTTCAGTGGACTCCATCCTAGGGCCAGCTGGCTGTCTAAACTGAACAATTTGGGGAGAAGAGCTTTAGTCAGGGAGCTGATCAAGAACCCAATGGCGACTTTGTCAAAGCTCCAGCGTTGTGTGGAGAGAGGAGAACCTTCCAGAAGGACAACCATCTCTGCAACAACCCACCATTCAGGCCTGTATGGTAGAGCAGCCAGACAAAAGTCACTCCTTAATAAAAGGTGCATAGCAGCAAGTTTGGAGTTTAACAAAAAGCACCTGGAGGACTCTGAGAAACAAAACTCTCTGGTCTGATGAGACAAAAAACAAAAACAAAAAAAAACAAACGAGTGAGCTCTTTGCTGTAAATGCCAGGCGTCACATTTGGAAAAAACCAGATGCGGCTCATCACCAGACCAATCAGAACCGCTCTGTGAATGTCCAAGCCAGAGTCCAGACTTGAATCTGATAGAAAAACGTCTCCTTTCCTACCTAATGAAGCTAAGGACTGCAAAGAACGGGCCAATCTAATCCTCATGACATCATGTTCAAAACGACTAGAGAGGCTGTAAAAGATAAGCTAAAGGCAGATCAGCAAAAATATTGAGCAAACAGACTGTGAATACGTATGCAGATGTGATTTCTGTTTTTAATGGCATGAAGGTGTATTTGTGCATAGGCTTTTGAGGAAAGAGACTAATTTGATACAATTTGGAATAAGGCTGAAAAATAAGTAAGAAAAAAGTGAAGTTCTGTGACCTCTTAGATGCACTGTTCAACCGAGACATAAAATCTGACAGTTTTTCCAATCAACCAGTGAGATTTCAAAACCATTTTCATGTCTTCTGATTGTCAGCTCTTAATTTCTCAACATCTTCTTGGAGCAACACAAGCTTGAAACTGTATTGAGATTAAAAAAGATGCTTAATTACACCTCCGGGACACGATTAGTGCTGAGCATTACAAACTTGTGTAATGTGCCGATCATTATCTTAAAGCAACAGATTTCTTGTCTTTTTATTTGAATTTTTTTCCGAACCCAGAAAGCATTAGTTAATTTCTTTGACTTGACAGAAATCAGGCAAATGTTTATAATCTAAAACAGAAAAGAAAAAGACGCATTAGAAAGAATGAAGCAAAGGTTTCAGCTTTAGATTCTCGGATTACCTAATCATCTTCTAAATATTTGATTAATTAATTGTTTATTGAGCTTTACGGGTTTCTCCTTTGCTTTTCTTGTTATTTTCAGTGTGCAGTTACTGTCAGTTGTTATTCTCTGGATGAAATCCACAGGAAAACACAGAAAGGTGGATTTAGTATTTATTGAATGCTAAATTTTGTGACACAATGTTAAATATTCATCATTTTAATGAGATACTTTTCTCAAGAAATCAGATTGAAACAAACCTTTAGACTCCACTGTAAACAAATAAGGAATATTTAAGGTGCTGATCAAAACTGCAACTGCATTAATGGTCTTTTTTTTCTTTATTCACACAGAAAACAGGAAGACAAAAAAGTGAGTGTCTCTGTTTGGTCTAACTCACTTTTAAGCTACATTACCTGCTTCTGAGCTCATTCTGAAATGTCACCCTTTGTCCTTCAGCTCTAAGTCCTACAACCCTCCCCCGCCTCCTCCGCCTCCTCCCACCCGCAACGTAAGTGATCAAAACAGCTGTTATCAGGCCAGGGTTTGTTTTGCTTGCGTTGCTCCAGGTCTGCCATTAAATGCAGTTGATAAGTTGCTGATAGCAGCGGTCTCGTGCTAATTAAAGGAAATGATTCATTGTATTTCCTCTCCACTCCCCACAGCTCAAGCACTACAAACAAACTCAGTCCTTCATGATCTGAGGCGATTTTGCCAAATAACCAAAGTGTGCGGCAGGAACTCGGCGGCTCTGCTGCAGGCGGAGAAATCTTCAGCCTTCAGGCGAAGCAGACGTTTCCTTCCTGCGTTGTGGGTTTTTGTCCAGTGGAAGTCCCGATGATACCCGGCCAAGTGTACAGCTTCATTACTTTCCCACACCCTGTATGATTTTTGTCATTTAATGTTTTTTTTTTCAGTTCTTGTTTTGAGAGTAGGTGTTAAGCTCTTCAAGCCACTCATAGGTCAGTGTATATGTTATTTTTGGTAAAACTGTATATATATATATATTTGGTGATAAATGGTTCATGTTGGTTTTGGTTGACTCTGATATGTAATATTTAATGTTAGTCTTTTTTTTTTCTAGCATTTAATTGAGCTGTTTGATGCTCCTGATGCTATTTTTCCTTGTAAACATGTTTTTTTTAATAATTGTTTGAACAGGTGTCTGCACACACTGAACAGTATTATAGAAGTTTAAAAATCTTTCTTGCTTATATTTTTGAGAAATCTTAGCCTATATTCAATAAAGACTGCTGGGTAAATACGCATATTGGGTTTAATGGTGATCAGTAAGGCTGGATTAGGCAAAGTGTAATGCAAATGACACCATGCTTGGTATCGGCACCAGATTTGCTCCAAACAAATCTGATTCAGATTCAAATTTATTCGTATCCCAAATGGAAAATTTATGTTACAGCAAGTATAAAAACTAAAAGACAAAGTATTTACTGACAGACGGTTGCTACAAGCACTAAATTAGGTGCAAGTCCCCCTGCCTTGTCCTGCATTAAAAAGAGATATTGCTGTACAAGCAAAATAGTGCTTGTACCCATTACCATTTATGCAAAGAAGACACAGCCAGAAGGCAGAAACTGGAACTCGGCATGTAAAGGATGAGAAGTATCAGCAATAATTGCTTTAGTTTTCCTAATGATTTGGTTTTTACACAGTTCTGTAAGTGAGCATTATTCAACTCCTAATAAGCAGATCTTATTGCTAGTATGTATTACTCTGCTAAGGGCATTTTTTGACCTAATACTAAGATTTCCAAACAAACAGAGGAGGGAAAAACGTCAACACAGAAACTTTGCGAGCCTCCTTCGACAAAATAATATTTGCTGGCCCTTTTGTTGCGTGTAGGTTTTCTGAATGGCAGGTAAATTTGAACTTATTATCTAAAATAGTCCCAAGATATTTGTAGTTCTCTGCTGTCTCCACTGTCTGACCTTTAATTACTCTACAAATACTGACTTTTTTTCTCCCCCCATTTAGACCAAAGATGAAACTGATGGTGGAGATGCAGAAATCTCTCACATATGTAGGGAAGCTAAACGGATGTGAGAAAGTCAGAGGAACATCCTAGAGGTTATACTAATGGCACTGAGTACTAACAACACATTACAATCATGCTTTCCTTTACACAATTTTTTTTTTTTTCAAATAAGCTGTGATCTGGTGACGCTCAAATAATCTTGGAAAGCCTGAATAATGCAGGGCTGTGTTAAACTGCAGCTTAACTCACACACATTTCTGCCATATTGTGCCTCTTCTGCATTTTATGTGAATAAATATGAGATGAACTCTGCTTGTGTGCAACGGCGTTCCCGATATCAAGTCCTGACCACACCGTAGTTATTATCCTCTTTATTATGTGATAAACTTTGCCAATCGCATCAAGCATTTGGTTTAGAAGTGATAATGATCAACCACCTACTCATTTCAGTCTGCTGCGTCTATTTCTGTGGAATAAAGACTGAAAACCCTGAAAAGTAGACAGGAGTGTCTGCCACACAGACAAGGACACCTGGGCTGGTTCCACAGTTGAGGGCACTGATAAATGAAACATCTGCATCTAAGAAGTAAGACCTAAAGGTGAAATATATTTGGTTTATTTAAATCTGGCTAAAATGAGCCATGCAGATTTGAGCTGTTCTCATCGCTTGTCAAGACTCCACGTTTTCTTTTTGCCACTAGAGGGCAGCAAAGCCACAGCCAATGTCCACAAACTCCCAGCTGCCAAAAAAGGCCTGCAAGCTGCCAGCCATTATTCATTATTTGTCTATGAACAGATCCTCTATTGTCCTCCCCCTTTTGTACTTATTGTTCTTGTCATTTTGGTGCCCATATATTTTAAGCTCTGGCGTGGCTTCTTCTTTTTACGTCTGCTGACTAAAATCTCTGCCAAAGACACGTTGCCTCTGCGTGTCCTTGAAGCTCTGATAAATGTTTGCGTTATTTGGTATGCATCCTAAATATCTTACCATTTGATCTCTGGAAAATCTATACCTGCAGACTGCAGATAATAACAGAGATCACCTGACCTATATAATAACCTCTCGGAGTGATTACAGGGTAAGCGGAGCCTATTGATCTGCAGAAACGGCTGCATGGTACATTAGCTGAAACCGTTCCGATCAGCTTCTCCGGGTGCAAATAAACGGCATCAGCTGTGCTCAAAAATGCAAATGGGAATGTTGTGGCAGCCTGTCAAGAGCTGAGAAAATGGATCCTGGGTCAGAACCGCTTTCGCTTTCAGCATAATGACACGATGACAACACATTAGTATTTTGTTCAGTAATTCACTGCTGAACAGTCAGGGACTTCTGTGTTTGATGGCATAAAATAGCAGTTTCTTGTGTTTCTCTGTCAGTCTGTGCATGATTGCTCAGTCGGAGGCCATTAAATGAAATCTGCTCGGCACAATGCATTAAGGGTATTTTGAATGTGTCATGTGGAGTCTATCAATACTCACCAGAGATGCAGAGGATGAAAAAAAATAAGTATATGCTGCTACTGTGGACCACAACAAAGCCTCTGATTCAGACTCATTCTAGGTATGCAAACCTGGTATTTTATTTAAACAAAGCAAGATTAAATGGATACAAAAATCTTCAATGCAATTGATCTGAATATAGAGAATATGATAGAAAACCATGTCATCACAAATCTTTTGTCTTTTTTAAAGTACAATAGGTTCTGTTCAATAAACACATCTTTGTTTCTGTAAGCCACCTTATTACAATTTTTACTTGAATTCCAGAGCATGAAGCTAACCCTACCCTAACCCTAATAAGAAGGTAGACCGAGACAATAACAAAATTTGTAGAAAAACAGCCTTTTGTCACATTACAACCCCAAACTTTGATGTATTTTACTGAGATATGTGTGCGATTAGCTAGTGCCTGGAAACGATAACTATGAGGGATGCAGGGTCTCTGTTTTCCTGTATATAAATTGCAGAAATAAAAAGTGTGCATTTGTAGTCGCCTCCATTAACTAACATCAATCAAACCTATGAGGCAACTAAACCGGCAGACTGGGAAAAACAAGATTAATCACAGGGGAAACCTCTAGTTATTCATGGCCACAACCAGGAGAAATGATTTAGGTAGCAGCATTCAATTATAATTCTTTACATAACTTCTCTATAATTGCAACCACATTTGTCAAATTTTCTGTAGCCAGCTGCAAGTTTCAGATATTTGAGGAAGTTTGACCCGAATCTTACTGTCAGCTGTCGGATGTTTGAAGTTTTTCCTCACAGGTTCAGACCGTTTTAAGTCATCTACAGAATATCACTGACAAAGATCTGGACTCTGACTTGAGCCTGGACTTCCTGTTTCTTATTTATTTTAAGGCATTTCCTGGGGGATTATTGGTATGTTTTGTTTGTATCATTGCTCTGGTTCAGTTAAATGCATCTTTTTCAGATGATCTCACATTTTCTTCTGATATCCTTTAGGGTTCATGGTGGATTCTACAAATGTGAGCTGGCTGGTCCAAAGAATCCACAAACCGCAACACTTCCTCCTCCGTGCTTCAGAGATGATGTGACGTTATTTCCTGCAATATTATATTTGTTTCATATCAAACATCTCTTCTGTTCTGGTGACACCGTTCCCCCTGACAAGCACTATTCTGGCCTTCATTTAAGATTTTCTTCTTCTCATTATTGTTTTACTAGTGCAATTTCTGTCTGATTCTACATGAACTCTCATGTAACAGTAGCAGGAACCTGTTTTAGGTCCTATATATGGGAGTATTTGGCACTTGCAGGCTTTTTCAAGTTCACTGAACGTGAAATGACTGACTACAATCATCTCATCATTCTCTTTGAGATCTCTTTAAAATCATTTACGAGACTCGTACTGCAATCTACAGAGAGGAGCAATGCAAACAGCTGCGAGTTTATGCATTACTTTGTCTGAGAGCAAAGCAAAACCCGAGTAAATATGTCTTCAGAAATCCTTCAAGATGTGGTAAAATACATTATGTGTAAATAAACTTTTAATGTGTCAAACCTGCTGTTTTGAGGACATCCAAAGATGAAAACAAACCCAGCATTGTGCTGTATTATGAATATTGAACTTTGTTGAACACAGTTTGGAGTTTCCCTTCATCCAGTGTCAATAGATCAGTGGACAGAAAATGTCACATGCAAATAATTCGATATAAGTTTCTGATTTCTGCACACCGGGCTTTACTGCTGGCGCTGGCCTAATTTTGTCTGTGAAATACAAATAAAGACGGAAAAAAAAACAAAAAAAACATTTTTCATTACATCACTGATACTGTTTTTCCTGGTCTCAACAATACATTAAATATTGATCTAAACTTTGCATTTAGTTTTAATGATTGAGTCTAAGTATTTGCTTGGTGTGATGATGTATCCATTGATCAAATATACTTTTAGACGTGTGTGCTTGCTTTAAAAGGCTTAAGATTATTTGTTGAGTTATTTCAGAAACAGACACTTAAATATTGCTTGATTGTTGAACCTTTACTAACTTACTGCAAAATTTTTTTAAGAATTATTTTAAAATCTTAAAGAAGATTCAATTAGTATAATAATGAATGTTGATGGCATGTAGGTACTCAAACTTAATAGTTGATAAAGTCAAACTTCTAAAATGTGAAGCAAACACCATTCGGCAATTATGATAGAAAAGATGAGGAATCTGACAGAAACACAGTGAGGTTCCTACTGTACATAACGTAAAACCGGAGGATGAATAAGGCATCCTTTGAATGTAAACACTGAAACAACCTCGGCGTTATGGATGAAGCTGCACACATTTAATCTTTATCTGTAAAATAACATTTCAAATGAGCAAAAGTCATTGATTAATAAGTTAGAAAAATATTCAATTCTCACTTGACTTGTTTAAGTCATTAATGCTTAATGTTGTAAGCTTGACTTCAGGAAAGAGATGCTCAGTGCCAGAACCAAAGTACCAGAAGCAGTTCAGGCTTTTTAACATGCATCACAACATTAGGCAATTTGTCTCTGACTGCTCTGTCAGCGGTTCTGTTAATTAATTCATCTCAGAAGAGCACTAATCCACCTCCATGTCCACCTGCCTCAAAGACGATTCAGCTTGGTTTTAGCATTTGGTTGTCGGTTCCTCTCTGCGCGCATGACTGGAAGCGTAACCATTTTCTTGGGATGAGCTTTTGTTGTTCAGAACTGTTAAGATGCCATAATTTTGACATATTTGTTTTGAAACGAATGTCTTTCTCTTCTTGCTATATAAATGCGAGGTTCATATTCAAACGTTTTTTTACTCATGCTGCCATTTTTGAAAAGTTGTCCAGTTGCAATCAGCAGATTAAATGGAAATAAAACAGCTATATTTGATAACTTTGATACAAGAGGAAATATTTGCAGTCTAGAAAATGTTTGGGGAGATGGTATTGCAGTTATCGGCGCTAACCTATTTAATAG